GCCTAAAATAACTACAAGTGGCAGTGTTACAACTGTATTCCTAATTTTTGCACAGTCCCAGGATGAGAGGGAACTCTGCCCATCCCTCCCCTTCTCGCTCCCCCTCCCCTCAGGATCCGTCCTGGATCCGCCTATAGGAATGAGTGAAGACTTTTGTTGAAACCATTCTTAAGGATCGACAAAAAAATAATCTTAGGCACACAAGGCATATTCTTAGGCATCTAAAGTATGGTAGAAAAGTGTACTTGCCTTCCTGGGAACATCAGTATGACGCCGTTTTGGTTTCTCAGTTCCGAACGTTAGATCTTCAACTGTGGAAGGCGATGAAGCCCGAACTGCGGTCCGTGTACGCACTGGTGCTGTGGCAGCAGCTGCTTTTGAGGTGGGTGACGGCCTGAGAGGTTTTGCTAGCTTACGCGATATGTACGACGGCTCCGAAGCGACTCGCCCTGATTTTGCTTTGTTCTAAAATAATGGAGCTTCTGCAAATGCCCTTTTAGGCCTGTCAGTACTGCGAAGAAGTATTTTACCCACATCCAGGAAAGAATAGTTAGCAGCAAATCGTAGTCGTTGAATTAGCCGTAGTCGTTGAATTTTTAAACTGCAACTTGCCTGTACTCCAGCAGCGCTGGACAACGGCTGGTTTTGTTTCAGCATCGGTCTCACCACAGATTTCGGCTTATTTATTACCTGAAATTGAGCCAGAAGCACTGATAGTTAGAAAAGTGCTAAAGATCGGCCTTCACACATAAATGCCCACTAAGCGGCAGGAGGAATTTTCCGGCCGGTTGGGCGGCAAATTCTACTGAGTGGTTATCCAATCAACTTGAGGAAATTCAAATGAAAACTGCACTTTCAGGCATGAACTAAGCGATAACGTCGGACAATACCCTGTTTTTATGTGTTTTTGCGGTGGACCACTATGGCTGTGCAAAAGTTAGCAAAGGTAAGTTCAGATGATGAAATTTTGCCAGTAGATGCCTTTGCTAAGATCGACTTCAAAAACGTGATGTCAAATTCCAAGCATGGCTGAGTCTCATGTGCAGGCACTTGCAATTTTTGACGAGAAAATTGCTAAGTCAGGAACCAGGTAAGCTGGGAAACTGAAATTTGGGAGGATGTGTTCTATTCAGATGCTCGATTTAAAGGTAACAAAATCCAGTTCCTAAGTGCTCTTCGTTCTTACGCTCGGAAACATATGGGAAATTGCTACTAGGAACCAGATAAGTTAGGAAACCGGAATATTAAGGGAATGTTTTTGTAAATGTGCGGTCCAAGGACTTCAGTTCAATTCCTAAATGCGTCTATGTCTTACGTACGATAGATAAAAATCCTGACGGGAAACTTTCCAACTCGGATTTCCCCGTCTTTCCTCCCAGTACCCTCACTGTCCAATTTGCACTTTTAGTGAAAGATCGATTACCGAAAATTATTTGTTTCCTTTCACACGGAATTTACGGTAATCATGCATGCTAGAGGTTAAGATTTCATACGGCCCTATAATGCAACAGTATCGTCCCAACCAGCACACCTTCTTCCTCTTCATGTATGAAAAGCCATATTGTTAATTAACTGACCGCCTCAAGATTCGCGCAAAAAACGTATAATCGCACTAGCAATTCTGATGCGTTTTTACCTGAGTTTTAAGAAAACATCACTTTTGGCAGCAGTGTTAGTCTGTGAGATCGGCTTGGAAATGCGACTGACAGCGGACTGCGCTGACATCGCTGGCTTTCAGTCGACAATTTTTTCTCCAGAAATACCGTCCTTGGCAATAACTGACTTCTGAAGTGCATGCGTTATGTTTAACGAATTGCATAAACCAACCCTTGCAGGAGTCTGTTGTGGCGATGTTGCATCGATAACTGGCAAAGCTGCTGGGTTGTTCCTTGTGGTCATCACAGTATGAGTGCTTTGTCGTTCCAGTGCGTGCTAAAGCGGTGATTTCAGAGTGAATTTGTATTTCAGAGAATGTCTTAACTTGGTCAGTCTCTAATTCCAGGAACTTCAGACTATGATTTTCATCAGTCGTTCTACCGTTTGTTTCATAAGTGAAAGAGAAGACAGTTTTTACATTATAGCATCGCCTATCCTGTTTATGTGCATAAGCACCAATTGACAGTGAATCTAATTTTGGAGTTTTGAGCAATATTTCATATTTTTTTAAGATCTGGAAACAAATTCTCGGTCAACAGTTGCAAACTGGTTTCGTGTAACTAAACTTGGTCTGCCACTATAGAACAATCAAAATGTGATTCAAGTTCAAAACTTTAAAATACATCTGGATACAAAAGTTAGCTAAACCATCCTGAAAGGTTTGAC